TTGCTCCGGGCGGCCGGAGCCACCTTATGATCGCATTATATCCGAATTCACGTTATTGCGGGGCGCGTTATAGCAGGGTTTCCCTGTAATGGAAATGTGGTTTTGGCCATGTACTGTATTGAGTCATGTCCAGTTGTATTATCTACCAACACATGTATTTCAGTGTTAATGGTCAATAAGCATGTTCCTCCCAATTTTCTATTGATATTTAGGATTACTTTCCCTAATTTCAATATATTAATGTAAGCTCTACTGAGCCAAACCTCCATTTATTAGCTATAGCTCATTTTACTAGATCGTCAAGGTACAACATGTCCTATTCCAGTGGAGATTGGAGCTTTTTTACACAATTTTATTGATTTTAAAAAAAAAAAAGCAAAAAAAAATTATTGAACACCTAATATACTAATTAGTGTCTTGATCCTTCACTTTGACACATTTAATTGAACATATATAACTAGTCCCTTTTGAAGTCAATGAGACTGTCTCATTTCTAAAGTTAAGTGTGTGCATAAGTCTTTACAGGATCAGGATCTGGTTTTTTAAAATTAGTACATATTTTATCATTTATTTTTGTAAACTAGGAGCACACAGCCATTAAACCACTGATCAGCTGTGCAAGTTGCTACCGTTCTCGGTTTCATCCAATTGCCCGACTTAAGAAACAGGTATGTAGATATGACAGGGAGGGTAAACATTCCATACATCTTTTAAAAATTGTTTAACTGTTGTCTTTTTGCTTTGATAGTCCTGAATAACTGTTAGGCTTTTGAGGGAAGTTAAACTTTATCTACCCATGCACTTTATTTTCTTTTCTTGATTGAGGCTCGAGTTAGATATTAGGGAAAAGCTTTCTAACTATAAGGATAGTTAAGTACTGGAATAGGCTTCCCAAGAGAGGTTGTAGAATCCCTGTCATTGAAAGTTTTTAAGAACAGGTTAGACAAATACCTGCCAGGGATGGTTTAGGTGTCCTTGGCCCTGCCTCGGTGCTGGGGGTTGAACTATGTGACCTCTTGAGGTCCCTTCCAGCTCTACATTTCTATGACTTCTACAGCTACCTTTGCCTAATGAGACTTTTTTTTTTTTTTTTTTTTTTTAAGTTGGTCAAAAAAGCTTTTGGAAACCATAAAGGTCCTGGATTAGACTTAAACTAGTAGGAGATGTCACACTATATTTGGGGTGTCAAATGATAAAAAAATGAATCGTGATTAATCACAAGATTAAAAAAAAGTCATGATTAATTGCAGTTTTAATTGGTCTGGAGCAGCTTGGCCAGGGGCAGCTTCATGGGGGGAAGGAGGCGCGAGCAGCAGTGGAGCAAGTCAGTGGGAGGAGGGGCACCCCTGCCCCAGAAGCACGGAGTGGTGCCCCCCTGAGCACAGTACCATGAGAGTAATCTGCAGATCGCAGTATGAGAACCACTGAACTGCTTGATAGTCTCTCTGTCTTTATTGAGTTAGGTCTGTATTAAACAGTTCCTTCATACAAACTTTCTAAGTTAGTGAGGATATGAAGTACATTACAGTGATAGTACTGATTAATTCTTTCATATTAAACAATGGGGAAAGTAAGAAATGGCTGCAGTTTAAGCTTATATTGTGGCATGAACTTTTTATTTATTTTAGGACTTTCCACCCTTATGTCTTGAACATACATACCTTAATTGTAACTTCTGAATGAATGACTTAAAAGATACAGAGATTTAAAAAAATTTAAATAGTAAAATGTGTTGCTGTGCAAGGTATGTCATATGGGCTATATCTTGTATTGGAGTTTGGCTTTATTAAGGTGTATTTTGACTTCCTAGGTGCTGAAGTGTATGAAGAGCATTAGTTCATGGCCTGAGCTTCCTATAGTGCCTGAAGAGCAAATTCAAGAAATTCCAGGGTATGCCTGATCCATTTAAAAAAAAGAATCGTACCTTGAAACCGTGCTTATAAGGTGCTGTGTTCTCCATTGCAAGTGGGACCTAAATTCTACAGCAGGATTTCCTGTATATTACAGCAATCTGGTACAGCAGCCTGGAATTCTGTGGCAGCTTCATTTAAACTAAAAATGGAGGTTTCTATTGAATTCAGTTCTGTTTTGAAATAACAGAGTTTGAGATGATTGTGGAATGCTTGAGTAGGTGTCTCACAAACAGTTACAAGGCCGTGTAGGAGTGGAGAACAAGACTTCGATGTCACTGGCATAATGAGAGCTGAAATGATGCAAATGATCAGATTGCTAGGACTATAGTGCAAGTAGAGAATGCAGCAGAAGCCTGAAGGACGCCAACGGATTGGTGGCTGCTCCTTCCCTAAGAGATATTGATGGAGCTGCTAGCAAAGTAGAGAGGGAGCCCAGAGGACCGAAGAGGAGTAGGGATGAAGAAGGAGAGGCAATCAGCTGTGAAGACCAAAAAAAAAAAAATCACTTCTCATGGTAGAAGCTTGGATACCACAGTGATGGGAGACCCTATAAAAACAGAGAGATTAAGAAGAATGAGAAATTCTCCTGAACTTGACATGGAGGTGGCCATTATTGATTTTTATGAGGCAGTTTTGGAGATATGGAAGGGACAGAAGGCAGGGAACCTGAGGAGGTGGAAGATAGGAAGTCTGACTGTACATAATGAAAGTATTTAGTACACTGCAGGATTCTGGAAAGGAAAGTAAGGAGATAGGATGATGATGCATAGGGAGGCCAAAGAGACTGAAAGGACGTTGCTTTCGAGATGGAGAACCCAAGAATTTGCTTGTAAAATGGAAGGAAAGGAGCCAAAGGATTACAGGGTAGTAGTGGGCATGTAGACAAATGGCTGTGACAAAATAGCTTTTGCTTCAATTAATTGTGTTAAGATGTAAACTGTACACACTTCTTTATTTTTCTGAAAGATTCTGAAAGTAATTTTTGTCTTTGCTTTTAAGGTTGGAAAGAAGTGCAGAAACTAGTCCTTGTATTTCTATGACTACAGAAATCCTCTCTCAGTTGCAACACCATTTGCCCCAGAATTGCTACATTTTAGATGATCTAATGAATAATCTTTTAAGTGAGAAGTAAGTTTAATGTTCCCCACCCTTGAGTCCACGCCTTAATACAATTTACTTCTGGAAATAAAAGGAATGTGGGACAGTAATGAGAGCTTGCTGCCCAAGTGTTCCTTCCCTCATCTATAGAGCAGCATTGTTGAAGGAACCATTGCATGTATTTGTATGGAATTGTAGTTTCCTCAGTCTAAAAGTCTTTAGGATTAAACAAAGAACTGTCCCCAGAATGAAGGGGAGAGGTTCAGAAAGCTGTTGTAATCTTGTTGCTTTGCAGTGCAACTTGAAGAAACAACCATGCTTGTATTTCAGATGTGGGGAAGCAAAATAGTTACAGATGCACAAGAACTTTATTATAATAACTTGACTAAATTACCTTCAATCTGCTTTATGGTACTGTACAACACTGCACTAGAAATTTTAGTCTTAGCATTGTGATTGGTGTTACAGGTGTGCATGACACTAAAGTGTTCATCTACCTCTACATACTTCTCTACTAGCCAAACTTATGTTTCTTGAGTCTTTGAAGTAGAAGCTGAGATTTGCTATATATTTTTGTTTCTGAGATTTCGGGAGGTCTAAATATAGCTCACATTACTTCAGTTTCAATTTTGAAACTTCTTTCATTTCACATTTTTAAAAGCCCCACTTAAGAGTTTGCATAGAGTCTTTCTTTACCACCCTGGGCTGGATTTGAATCAGTGACGTACAGTCATTTCCTCGTGATGGCTCTTCAGTGAGCTTGTTAATATGAACTGATGGACTTAATCTGGTTTGTACAGGATAAGTGTCTAATTCAGTACAATAGTCAACGTCACTGATGTGAAATGCATCCTTGCTGGCAGTCTCAAAGAGTCCACTGATTTAATTAATATATTTAAAAACAAAACTGCTTTCCCTTCTCATTTGCATCAGGCTCATTGCATGTGGGAAGGATAGCATGTTGAAGATGGCTCTTCTGTTGCCTTTAGTTTACATAATTTATAGTTAGACTTTTGTTTTCCACTGCTGTTAATGTCACTTTTCACAAGCACTAAAATCCCTTTTAAAGCATTAAAGTAGGAGGCTTCTTAATACTGTTTAAGGTTTTTTTACACTTACGACCGTTATGTCTGGCATGGCAAAATATCTTGCTTGTTCTTCTTTTTTTTTTTTTTAATAAATTCTCCCTTAAAAACAAACCATTTGAAGTGATGTGGCCATCAAGAATTGTGACATACTTAGTATTAGCCGACTAGCATATATAAAGATGACAGCACATGTTGGCATTTTAATATCTCTTAATGAAGCCTAATCTACTGTGGTGTTGATTGAAACTACAACTTGTATTTTGTGACATGTTAAGACTAGTTCTTGGTGTACTGCTACTGTTCAGCTCATGATGTTTTGTTTTGGACACAGGTCTATTGTGGACTGAACTATAATTAGTGAGAGACACCACCTGTTTCATTAGTGATATTGTATATTTTTGGCCAGTTTTGTATATTGTGGTATTATTTCTTTACTGCTCTGGCCTGGAATGAGAAACATTTCAAACTTCTAGTGATATGATATTACTTACAGTAACGTGAGACAGAATACAAATCACTCATGCTAAATAGATTCTTGTTTTGGTGAGTCATAAGGAGACTGAGTAAATCTGTTTCCAAAACATCTGGATTAGAATTTTTTTAGCTCAGGCTACACTGGAATGGTTGTGAAATCTTTGTTTTTAAACCCTGCTAACAAAAACTGAAACAGAAATATTTCCTGTTTTATAGGCTACTGGTTGAACTCTGTAGTACGCACATTTGTACCCTGTACTGCCCACGTTCTGTACTGGAAATATTGGTTGTGTTCCGTAAGATAAGCACACAGTGCCATCAAGTGTCAGATCAAGTAATTGCCAGTACTGAAATGAGATACACACAGTGGATAAACAAGATACTGCGTTCGCGACAGAGGCATAACTATCTACGAATGTTACACAGGTTGGTTAAGTTTTTTTTTTTTCCCCCTTTTTTTGGAAATGAAGGGGTAATTTTAAGAGTGGATTTAACAGAGTAACTGAACACTTCTTTCCTTTTACTCTGCATGTGTACTCTTCCATATTCTGCTTATAAAATGTTAAAGCTAACTTGGTTTGTGTGTCATTGGTCTACTTAGAGTTAAGAATCTTCCATAATTTCCATTATAGACTAGTATATTAATGCAAGTAAAACTCAAATCAGAGAATAATTTATTTGGATATCTTTAACATTTTTCTCTTGTCTGGCCTGAATTATTAGGGTCCAAATAAAAAGGTAATGTAAATGTTTGGTTTTTTTAGTTTGTTCTCTTGGATGAACCTAAGCACTAAAAAAGGAAAGGAGAGGGAAAAAGTGAAATTTCCAGTCTGTTAAAACTGAATTACAGAGGTTGTCCCCATCTTATCAATGCTTCTCTCCTCATTTTATCGAGTAGGATGCTGGCCAGATCAGGAGTAATGGCTAGGATTCCATTAATGTAACACCTAACCAGCAGTGTTTCTTGGGGTCTATGATTAAACTTTAAAAATATGAGTGGGGTTAGGGAAATGAAAATTCTAAAAAGTTAAAAATAATTTTAATTTTATCTGGGATTACAAATGCTAAAATGCCTGAGTCATTCATATATATATATATATATATATATATATATATATATATATATATGCATGCTTATTTAATGGTGTCACTAAAAACGTGTATTAATGTAAATTATTATGTACTCTTAACCATAACCAGTACTTAATTTTTGCCAGGGCTGAGCCCCGGCACCTCTAGGCTTGGCAGTTCATAACACCAGGACCTCTGGGCTTGCCGCATCAGTTACGAATGTAAAAAACTTGCTTGAGCCCCAGCACCTCTTTCATTATAAATTCAGCACTGACCATAACCCTGTCTTGACACACATTTTTTTCCTCTGGAAACTTAAATATATGGCTCTTTTTTTCTTGCTTGTAAATTGTTCATAGCTATGATCTTCGCCCCATTTTTCACTAATGAATCTTTCAGACTTTTTTCTTTCACTCCCCATACCCATTTTAGGGTGGAACAGGAAATCTGAAGAACAGTTTTGTATTAAAAAGACCTCTGTTACAATTTTCTGCTTATTTCTAGCATTAAATTTCTGTCTCCTGTGTTACGGCTGATTTTAATGTTGATTATTCTGGAACTAATCAACATCCATACTGTTTGTGAGAAGAATCCTTGTGATTATCAGCAGTATATAAAGTGAGTATATAGTACTTGGTTAATTAAAATAAGTGAATAATATAGACTCTTTTCACCCTCCTTTGAACATCTTTGGTCTACATTATGTATCCTTATTGAAATTGCGGTTTAACAGCATGTGGTACATCAGGTAGTCAGTCTGTTTCCCCTGTCATTGCAGTACCAATTTGGGGGACAGGTGAGGGGCTCGCTAACTGAAATGTCTTTGTTTACAACATGTGGTTCAGCTAGCCACAGTTTCAATTTTTATTAGACTTCCCATTGGCACAAATAGGAGGATAGTCTCACATTCAAGCCCAAAAATAATAATACATAATAAACTTTTGATTTTAGCATGTAATCAACTTCATTATTTCCACTGTACACTTAATTGGAGATCACAGGCATTGTAAAGTGTTTGGCTGCCAAAGAAAGGAAATTGTAGGAGAGAACTCCTCTATATACTGT